GCATAAACATTTCATTACACCAAATACACAAAATAATGTTCTTTTTAGCAACATAATATGACCCCTTTAATAGTAGTAGCCAACCATTAAACAGCTGGTTGACAATCTAGAATATATCTAGTATCATATATATAATTTGTGACTTTTGAACAAAAATATATGTTAATTCTACTAATTCAGTGTTTTAAAATATTATACACTATTTTACAATATGTGGGGTTTCTGTGACTGTACAAAGCCCATGACATGAGGCACACCCCGTTTAATTTCTGATTGCTTTTTATTTATTTATTTTTTTCACAGCATCTAGCTGTAACATTCTAACAGTCTAATTTCACACCTGACAACGTTGATGCTCTAGACCAGGGTTTCATAACCCTACATAAAAAAAACAGTGCTAACCACCTATTAAATTAAAAGTATGAAATGTTGAGATGATTGAGTACAGTGTAAAAGTGTCAAGTGTCATTTGAAAATGTTTTAATGCACATTAAACTACTACAAAAAACACGATTTTCTATTTTAGAAACACTGTCATGCAGGGCAAAAAGTGAACTCTTGCATCCTCTTGGAAGCAAAAGAAACAATATTTTGGTATGGCAGAAGAAGGGCTCTTCCTCTTAGCAGTCCATTCTAAGACCTCAATCTAAGGTCAGAGGAAATCACTTCCCCCTCTTTTGGCTCTCAAGAACTGTACTATAAGAATCTCACATTATTGAGATATCTGATTAATAAGTGGCCAAGGCTAGCAAAACAATGTGTAAGTATGTGGTCACACTTTCATGTAAATAGGCAGAAGAAACAAGCCGCCAGTTGAATCCTTTGGAGCAGAAGTAAACAACTGATTAGATCAGCTTGCATTTCCGATTATACGTCATGACACCCTTCACGTGAAGTGGCTCCAGAAAAAGGCTTGGTGGAATCAAAAAAGAGGAAGGCAAACAAAATTAACCTGATTACAGTAGTCACAAATTCAAAAATATTCATGCTAAAGTGCAGTAGTAATTGGTCTTTCATACTTTGCAAACAAACAAACAGTGGCAAGGCCACTGCAATTTTCTTTTCCTCTCAGCATTCTAGAAATGTTTGCATTGAGGACGAAACTTGTAACTCACTTCCATCCTGTTTGTTTGAGTGTTGGCTCATTTCAGGAACTCAATACAGGAAAGACAACATACGAGGATTTGCACTCAACACTGCTGAGTTTGAAATTCTTTCATGGAGCGTCAACTCAAGTGTAGATGCCTTAACAAAATGTCCATTTCAGCACAAAGGTTCAAGAAACTGAACATTTTACCAACAAAGTCTTGAAAGTCTCATACTGTACTATTCCAAACAACAGCCATTTTTTAAATGACATTATCACCTGTGTCTACAGTGACATTTATGTTGAATAGCTTAACAAACAAACAGCTTGCTCCACATCTGCTAACAGAGATAGAATTGTCATATTGTGCTATCCCTTCATCAATACAAGCTCAAGAAAGCCTAATTAACAAAAGTTATTTTCTACAAACAACTTTACTTGATTATTAAATGCCTTGCGACAGTTGAATATTTCAGGGTATGCATGTCTGTAATTCAGAGGTTGAGGCTGTATTTTCTGTAGTCTTATCTAAAAATTGCAGGTGCATCTGCAAAAGCTACATTCAGCATCGAAAAACAGCAGCAGAGCATCTCTCTCTCAGAATCATATACATGAAGAGATGCAGATAGTGGTATCATATAGAAAAACAAAGAGATGCAGATAGCGGTATCATTGACTTCAGATGCAACAGTTTTCAGAAAAATCTAATAATCTGATTTCATCCACAGCTGGAGAACTACATCCAGGAGAACCTCAAACAAGACATGGCCCAAATTCAAAATAATGCGGTGCAAAACCACACAGTGACCATGATCAAGATTGGGACCAGCCTCCTGAGTCAGACAGCAGAGCAAACCCGAAAAATCACTACTGTTGAGGCTCAGGTGAGGGTTGTTAATTCACTGTCTAATTCAGCAGGCATGGAGTCAGTTTTAATAACTAACAGGACTCTACTGTTTTTTTTCTATTGGCCTGGTTTGGACAGTTGTTTGGAATTTTACCTGCCCTGCTAAAATGTTTGCTGGCTACACCACATGGGTTCTTTTTGTATAAACAGTGTATGACACCAAAAATGTAGATAACTAGGAAAATTTCAATACAGCAGCAAAACTACTATTAGCCAAACTAATATAAGTTCAGACATAATTAAAGACAAGTGAACAGCCAGTAATAGAATTTGTATCAATAGAAATATGAGATTTCTGATTTTAAAGAAAAAATAAGTCAAATCTGACAAAAATCTGGGATAGTTGGCTGTGGCTGGATATATATGGTCAAAACCAGTGGTTTCTTTACATAATTACCTTTTTGGCTACTTTGTAGTTTTTCTGAGTATCAACGATATTAACTTTTACTCACTACTTGACTAAATTTTTTAATATGTACTCTTTACTCCGATTCATTTATGTCACATTTTGCGTGGCATCTAACTTTTTCTGCTACAAAAGAAGTAATATCGCCATCTACAGGACATTGACACAATTTGACAGTACAGCATTTTGTGTGTTTTGCCCTTAGTCACCCAAACTTGCCAACAAGTCTACTTAACGTGAATGCATTAGCAGGTAGTTGTGAATCTCAGGTGTTTTATATACGAGATGAGGGCATGGCTGAGACCTTTTAATGGATATTGGTTGACTTACGCCCTTTTTGAGTACTTGAGCTTAGCTGAGCCTTCAGTGTTTGTAGACATTTAAGGCTGTGTCAAATTTGATTTATTGCAATTTTGAGGCATTCAGATTTATTTTGATTTTAGAAAAACACATGATTGGCTCTCCACACTGTTTATGCTGTAAGGTATCTGTACTTTTACTGAAGTATGGTTTACAGGTACTCTGGTCAAAACACTTTTTCTAAAACTAAGTCATACAGGTTTCTCTCTCTCTCTCTCTCTCCATATACACACACACATATATATATATATATATATATATATATATATTTCTACAATCAATATGTAAATGCCTGAATACCATGGGCCTCATATATAAAGTCTGTATATCAGTGTCTGAGCAGATGTACACACATTTTTTTGTCAGAGTACTGCAGGTTTTTGGAAATGTAAGCTGTTCTTGCAGCTCGCTGTTCTAAATGAAAGGATTTGGACAATGACTGGTGATCTTTTATATGTTAATGACATTAATTG